GAGTAAGACCTATCGTCGAGTACTACTCATTCTTATTTTACAACCTACGCCTATCCGATATACTTAGGGTGGAAGGAATACAACGAGATTTCACCACATAATACTTAAGAAAACCTCACTCATTGACTACAGATCCCGATGCCATATCTAAAGACAAGAACCCCTCTGAAAAAGAAGGCTCAGGGCCATTTTGCTCCTCTATTTCAAATTCCTCGAAAACCTCAATTATTTCACATGTAATATAGTTCTCTTCCAAGACCCACATTGATACAACCTTCGAGACAAGGTATCCACAGTCAAAGTTGAGAAATACAGATCGAAAACTTGGGAAAACTACTTCCTCATCAGGTCTGCATTGTTATGGAACAGCCTTCCTTCTGAAATACGCAGGGCAGATAAATTACACACGTTTGTAGGACATGTTGATCAAGCCCTCACCTGCACAGATCCAGCGCAAACCAACACATCCGCGTCCCATACAGACATCATAGGCTCTCTACATATATGGACTAAACTGCCTTATTTCCCTAATTTGTAGTTGTATTAGGTACTTTCCCTCCCCTTAATTTTTTTAAAAGTAGACAGGCAACTCACTGAACCTTTCAATACTCGATCGCTAAGATACGCAGATTACTACCCTAAAAAGACAAAAGAACCGCACAATCGACTGCCTACCACCAGTGGTCGTACATCTATAAAACCTGTTACCCATCAAGCGGTTCGGATAGGACAAAAGAACATCAGTACGAATTTAGTGTGAATTCCTTCTCGTCAATTCTTTATCAGCTGTTCACTCTGCTGTACATTATATTGCCTTGCCATTAATATTATTTCACCACTCGTTATCGTACCTTATCTGTAACTAATATTCATCTACACTTTTCTGCCTACCTTTGTAGGCAACTATCTTACATTATACACTTCTTAATGCCTATACTCTGATTGGCAACCTATACTTGACACTATGGTCAATTAAAGCATTGCATCGAAGCCTTACCCGCAGTCCATAATTTGTAACTGTCTGATAAGCTTGTAAAATGGTACTTATAGAAATAGTGTTTTCCAACAGGATGTGAAACACAGAGCATTATGTGAGGTATGATATACATAAAAAATAAGCTTAAATGTGACTAACATCACAAAAGGCGGGAGGGTTGAGTTACTGACCAGCAGGTATTGATGGTGAGAGCGGTGACTTCAATCCACCCATGCTTGTGGAGCAGCACGTTTTGTTTGTATCAAACTCTTTATTATTAAGAACCAGTCAATTAGTCTGTGATATTGAATTTGTTCTCCTTAACTCACCATTCAGACTCATGTTTCTAATTTTATGCTGAATTAGCTATTCTACTTAGACAACTTATAACATGCTAACTCAGACTTTTACATTAAAACTGTGTGGCAGGCATCGATTGGAAAAAATGAAAAAATCAGACAATAAAGGTTTTAAATTCACTCAGTATTGTTTGACTGTATCTTCCAATTGATGTTTAGGACTGCAACTGGTCAGTCTCTAAATGGCAGATGTGCATACTGTGCGTATAGCCTCTATATAGCCTTAATTCACAAGCATTTTAAGCGAAGACGGATGGTGGCTAGCAGCTGACCAGTCCTCAACTCTATTATGGCGAAATACGATATACAACAAATGGTACTGGAACACACAGAACCCCACGATCGCAAATCGGAAGACAGAAGGATCAGGGGAGGGAATTATTGTATAAAAACCAATCTTCAGCTCATTTAGAACCTCTGCAGAATTCGTCGTGTTTCTAGAGAGCTGACCTAACAGCTTCCTTTAAAATTAGTTTTGTTAACCGATTTATAAAATTAAGTTTAATAGTCAAAATAATTATTCATTTACTTATTGAGTTGAATAAATTATAAATATATTATCTACATTTTATTGTTTCATGTCCCTTATGATTGTTTATCTACTCATATTAGTTTCGTTTAAAATAATAAACTGGTCTAAGTTAGACTACCTTCAAAAACTTTGGGAGCACTAGACGAACGTTTCATTTGAGTGTGGTGTGTGCTTCCGATGTCGACAGATATTAATAGTATGTACTATCAATCGAAAGTAAAATACTTTAAGGTAGAAGATTAAAAAAGATCAAAGAAAACAGGAATGTGAACATAGAATGATTGGTGTAGAAACGAAATAACAATGAAGTGTGTTACAATTGATGGGTATTTTACAAATGAACTACTCGCTTCCTGGTTCTCAGATGTTAATAAAACGTTCTGTAACTTTATGCTAAGGTACATTTGGTTGTTTCCTCTTGTGTTCTCTTTCACTACACTATCATTCCATGTTTCATTCTGGTATGAAACTCTTAAGCAGCGGGTATCTACAACTCCATATGCGGAAAATATAACTCGTTCAAAACGTCCGAAATATTAATTAAACCTACAATAATCTTTATGTTAATGATGACATTCAAGACACAAATTGTGGATCCTAATATACGAATAATTTTCCTCCTCAGATGGAAGCTGGTTTGTCCTCTCCCATAAAAAACTGTTTCTGATGGTATCCGGTCAGTGAATCTTGAGTACTTTGCGTAGACAACTGTTTGTAAATAATTATACCTTCTTGACGATGAATGTAGTCGTTCTCCAAGTTTCACCTCCGTACAGTACGACTGTCTTGACTACTGAAGATTATAAATCTGATATCGGTTGACATTTGCTTTGAGTTCCATATGTTCTTCAGTTGTAGGAATGCGGCCCTTGTGGTGGACCAAAAATTATTATACTATTAATCAGTAAACATGTGTTCCTGTCGATTAGCTTCTTTTTATTCATGTCTACCAATAGGTCGTAGGCGCTAGGAAAATCGGCTACGAGGAACTACAACTTGGAAAACTACATACACCCACGTGGATTTTCTTCGAAGTTACTATCTCGTTGCTCGCAATGAGTGACAATCTAGTATTCATGATGTGCCGTCGTCGTGAGATTTGAAGTGGAACGATGCTGATTTCTGCTCTTGTGTCCACCTAACGTCTGAGCCAGAAATACGATACTCGATGTGAAATAGACAACTGGCATTGTAACCAGTAACAGGCGTCGCCATTATTGTCTGACCGGCCTGTTTTCCGAACTGTCGTTGTTGTTTGGTGTGAACGAGCACGGTTGTGTGTAACGCCGTGCTTTTGAGTCATATTTTTGGTGGTACCAACATATTCCAGTAGCTTGTTTTGGCGATCGCGAACGTTGCCTTGAAAAGGATCTTCGCCCGGCCGTCGATCTGTGTCGATTTTTTTGTGCCGTGGCTATAGTCGTTCGTAATTCAGCTACTTCGTTTGCCAGTTCCATTGGAACGTGGCCGTACTATTTTTATCGCTTGAAACTGCAAATTGGATGGAGTTTTAAAGTATGATTTTCCGGGTAGATTTCCATAATTTTATCTGCCATATCTGCTAACTCGTCTAAAGTAACTGAGTTTCCTTATAGGCTAAGAATTTGTCTGACATTATATGGTAGACGTTGGAACCACATTTGTTTTAGGAGAGGCTCATCTAGTTTATATGTCCTTGCTAGTTGTTTCATATACCTTAACAACCGCGATGGTCTTTTGTCTCCTAATTCGCATGACGTTGACAATTGCTGTAATATTTTTTCATCGGGGACTGGTGTGAGTTGCATAACATAGGCTTTTATTTTGTCATCATGTTCACTCTCTGTCACCTGGTCAATTAAATCCCTAACCTCAGCAGCGATTTCTATGGGGACTGTACCAATTACGTAAGTATACCCTGTTGCCTAGGAGAGTATATCTCTAGCTATGAATAAAGCCTCTATTTGAGCAAACCAAAGGCCTGGGTTATTAGCTACGTATGTTGGGAGTCTGAATTCAGAGATAGCATTAACTGAACTTAAAATATTGTCTTCAGAATTTGATAATGAATTAAGGGTATTTACTGGAGGACAGTTTATACCGATAAGTTTGATTGGAGAGTACATTATTTGAAAAATGAACCGATGTGTCAGGTAAAAATAAGCAATATAACAATCAGAATAAACTCGAGGCTCACCAGATAATTGTGGTGGACCAAAAAGTATATTAACCAAAAATAGCAATAAAGTTATTACATCCAGATGGTGACATCATAGTATAGAAACTATAAGGTATAAAAGCAAATAAAAGTTAAGGAACGTTGCTTAAGTCAGCAGATTATGCGTTTTCAGTTGCGTTTGTTATCAGAATCCACAATTATAGATAATTATTAATTCCAGTGAGGCAGATATGATTCCTGTAACATAACCAAATGTGGAATATGATGGAAATGACGCCGCCGTCAATAAATGTAGATGACAGATGTTTCAGAGTTCAGTTATAGTAACCACAAGCAACGGAGAACAAGAGACGAGTGTATAGTAATACATTTGCTAGCGGTTAACAACGTACCGTGCAATGGGTATTACAAAACAGAGAAGTGTGTGTTCGAGGTCATACACTTAAGCAATAAGTACAAACAATTTGTGGTAAATACACAGACTGAAAATTAACAAAATAAAGGCAAATAATATCAACAATTATTTATAAAATGGGTTTTATGTCTATTTCCACACCCTTGCTCTGCCATCCTCGCCTTTACAACTGCATTAGATCCTCCTTGTTCATCAATGATGCTTCCATGACAAAAGAGGACATGGTAATATTAATGGTAAAAACTTTTGAAACTGCCACAGGTATTCAGAGTTTGACTACGCTTTTACACAAAAAATCTTTGTAGTCGAAGCGAACCAACCCAGTCAATTCAGAAATGAAGTTATTCGAATACATATTTGGAAAGCCGTCGATATATCGAGAATCGTTTGATCTAAGCTGCCTAGCAGTTGCAAAGAGTGAGTAGTAAGGCATACTTGTGATCTGGTGCGGATGTATGACTGAACTCCTTCAGCTAGGTGAGTCCAGTGAAACTAGCGAGGTCAGCACCAATGTTTAAGACATACGGAACTATTTGTTTAGGAGATTTATTTACCGTTACACTTTACAGCCCAGTACGTACACTGTGTGACATGATACTCATTAGTGAAAACTAAACTTAACGACCTTGCACACGGAGTTACAAGATATAAATCTAAGTGTACCTGAGATAGCCATCTATCGATAAATTCAGAAGATTATTGGAATTGAGAAACCCTTATTTCCAGAATCTACACTGTCAACTAAAACCCCTGTTTTTTTTTCAACTTCTGATGAACAAATTTTATATCTCTTTTAAACAAAATGAAAGCAAGTTTTCAGCTATAAGCTACTGTAACCTTCCTCATATCTGCAGTCTATGTCGTTTGAACGCATGACATTTTGTCCTACAGATTGACCGCTGTGTTCGTAAAGGAAATACGTCACAGGTTTTTTCGTCTATTGGTTCACTTTTATTGTGACTTTTGCCTGATGCATTAGAGTTCAGATAATGTTACACAATCAAAATGGTCAGAGTATGTACAACCGTCAGTCGTTTCAGCCAGAGAAAGAATTTGGTTACCCTAGTGTTTCTGGTCAGCACGCTTATAGTGCTCTTAACTCGAATGTGACTGATACTTACCCGCAAGGTCACCCAAACAGCAGCTTCCAGCCACCACCCAACTACTATGCGGGAAACCAAGGACAGACCTTTCAACCACAATCGCAGCCTTCATATTATTCTGCTCAGTCAATGCAGAGTATGAATCAACCACCATTACCACCCATGCCTCCTGTCCCAAACCATCAGGATTTCGTCCAACGTCCTCAGCAGCCGCGTCTTCCTCCGATGCCACCAATGCCTCCGGGACCTGAAGGAGTTCCACCACCCAGTTATCGACAGCCTCAACCTCCAGGTCCATTTCCATTGTCAAATGGTGCCAACAGCCAGATAAATACATTACATTCTCAACAGCCATATCAAAATGGACCAGTATCCAGACAACCACAGTTTTCTCAAAGTATAAATGCAGATAGATTACCTAGTCCTATCGAGGTATTAAAATTACATAGTTTTTGTTTTTATCAGTTTTATCAGTAAATCTTATGGTCTAACAGGTTTATTAAGCCTCATGTACCGTCAACATTTGGGCGCTTTCCCGTTTATAGTAGTGATATATATCACTAAGCAGGTGGCACCGGGACAAATTTACATAGGAATGTGATTTTGGAATTTTCACATTTTTAATTACATATAAACCAGGCATCTCGTAACTAACTTGTTTCACCCACCCATTTAACTCCTGTATCTAATGCTAGGTCAGAAGTTGGTGAATCCACCTCTCCAAACTTTACTCCAAAAGGATGTAAATTATTTTTACTTACTGTAGTTTAGGTAATACGTACTTCCACTAATATTGATCTGAATACTTTGAAGGGTCTGACGAGACAAGTCGACGGCCTCTGAGCAGTCCCAGTTAAACTTTTAATTCCTGTTTCAACCTTGTTATTACACTATGAAACGTAAGGTCAAAATATTTGGGACATTTTTAGACCTGTTTCTACACCTTTTTCTCTCTCAAGGCATTCAAAACCAATGTTTGTTAATAGCTAACATTTATTTCCGAAATCGTCTCAGAGATTGAAATTTAAATAACCTTAACGTTTTAATAATGACGTATTGATAGCTAGCCATTTTTTCTGTGCGTTTATTGCTTTAGATTTGGTTGGTGCAAGGATCTAAACAAAACATGGTTTTTCACTAGTGAATTCGATTTGTAGTTATGTAAACTAAATACAAACTGGGGAAACATAAATGCTATCATTTAAACAATTAGGCACCTGACTGATTAACAACTCGGGTCCCGTGACTTTTTTGCATATCAGGTTGCCACTTTTTTCAATGAAGCAAGACATCACAAAGAATAGTAGGGCTAATGTCTATGGTAAAAATTTAAATGAACAAGATAATTGAGGCAGTAAAAGTAGAATAATACGATGCCAAAACTCAAGTAATAAAAATAACCAACCATTACATGATAATAACTTTAGGTAAGAAGTGTACACCTTACATAATCCAGACAGTAGCTGACAATTTTTTGAAATAGTTTAACTGTCTCATATCAAGGGGATTTCATTAATTCCAGCGGATTTATAGCAAAAAGCTTTGGGATAAATATATGAAACTGATCTTCGTCTGTCATAATCTGTAGTGATATTCCGACTTTATTTCCCATTCTGTGAATCTGAGTGTAAAATATACTAGGTCCAGTGTTTCCTATAACTAACTTCAAAATCTAATAGTGAGTTCCTTTTAGTAGTTGAGTATAGATCGATTATTCTTCTGTTGTAAACTTCATTCTGGGCTATATTTAGTCTTAGTCCGAGTACTTTATTTTACGTACGTATTTCTAACAGCTTAATAAAGTTCACTTTTTAAGAACCGGGTTATTTGTCATACGTCTTGGATTTTTAAGTGAGGTAATTCGTGTAAACTGAGTTAGTTCAGCTTGTGAATAAAAACCCACACGGTTGGCTGAAGCACGTAATGTATATAATCGTCATTGTCAGTAGACAGTCTAAGATTTCGAAGTTAATGTATGATAAATCTGTGGATAGTAGTTGTTGGTATGCACTTAGCAAAGTAGATATGTGGCATTTCTATAGTAAGAGTTATTAGTAGGAATGGTCTAAACATTTTATTTAAGTAACTTAAAATAGTCTCCAGACGTAATTTTGTCGTATCTTAAGTTGATGACTGAATGGCTTTTTGATGTCATTCTTGACAATTTCGTCTTTTTGTTGTATGTTGTTACTCTTTTCATAAACTTGTCATGAGGCTTTGTTGCCCCTTGTTATAAAAGTTCACTATCTTTGATTTTAACCAAACTTATGATTTGCTTATACCTTCAATTCTTTTTTAGGTTATTGAGAGCAATCGGGCTCAATGTACTGGACCTTTTTATACAGGACAACGAGGTGTTGTGCCTCCTCTAGTCACAACTGACTTTATATCACGTGACCAGGGTACATGTGCACCTTGTTTCATCCGATCTTCACTATACTCTGTTCCGAATACATCAGATCTCCTTAAAACTGTTGGAATCCCTTTTTCACTTACAATATCTCCATTCGCTGTACAACATACAGAAGATATGAATATTGTGATTAGCGATATGGGTCCACAAGTAAGTTGACATGAAGCAAAACGGTACTGAAATTTGTAACGTAATGATTTACCTTATCGATTAAGAAGTGTATATATTCAAGTTATTAACTTTTATTTTTATCAATGTATGTATAAGGATTTACGAAGTTTGCTAGGTGTTTGTAGTATACTTGGCACATCAAACCTTGAATGTGTATCTGGAAGCCCTGACGCTGCTTCCCGTGGCCTCGCTGGAGTAGGTATAGCATTAAGTCCTAGGGCAGAACTAGCTCTTTTAGACTGGATCCCAGTAGACAGTCGTCTATGCGCTGTTCGACTAAACGGATCAGTAAGGACTCGGAAAGATAGGGAAACTCGTCGTTGCCTCTTCGTCGTCTCTGCCTACTCTCCCACAGACTGCAGCTCAGACGATATAAAAGATGAGTTCTACAGGAAACTTTCTGACCTTCTCCGAGAAGCTAGGCGTTCTGATGTAGTAATAGTAGCAGGTGACTTTAATGCTCAAGTAGGTAAACTAAGTGAAAGGGAAGGACACCTGGGTGGATCTTATGGTGTCATGGCGAAAAGAACAGATAATGGCGACCGTCTGTTGCAGTTATGCTCAGATAACCGCCTATTTCTTGCAAATACTAACTTTAAGCATAAGGAAAAACATCTTTTGACCTGGCGACCCCCGAATTCGTCCCAACGTTGGACCCAATTAGATCACATCGCTATCAGCCACCGATGGAGGGGCTCGATAGAAGACTGTCGCTCATTCTGGGGCACATGCTTAGATTCAGATCATGCTCTAGTGCGAGCACGTATTTGTCTGCGTCTTACTGGACGTAGGAAAGACACTGCAGGGAAGCCTCTAAGGGTTCTACTTAATGATAGGCAAGCTAAGAATATATTTCAGGAACAACTAGAAAAACAGATAGGCAGCCATGTAAGTTGTGTCCACCCCGAGGCAGCGTGGAATGACATCCGAAAAGCTGTGAAATCAGCAGTGATATCCGCTAATAAGGTAAACCATAACGTTAGGGAGAAACAATGGATCTCGGCAGCATCTACCGCATTGATAGATGCTCGTAAACTCATCCCACCTGGCTCTGAGCATAACGAAGAGCGGAGTCAACTTAATCGCAGGCTTATAAGAAGTCTACGTAATGATCGTGAACAGTGGTGGGTAGCGAAAGCAAGAGAGATGGAAAAGGCAGCGGCAATAGGTAACAGTAGGCAGCTATTCAGACTCGTTAAAGAAACCGGTATTAGGAACCCGAATATCAGTGAAACCATCTCAGATAAAGATGGGCATATTATTCATTCTCAATCCAGGAGGTTGGATCGATGGGCAGAACACTTTAGGGATCAGTTCAACTGGCCTTCAGCCGCACTTCAATTACCCACGATCCCCAGTCGTCCTGAATGGCAAATTGATGTAAGTCCTCCAACCCTCTGTGAGGTTGAAAAAGCTATAGGAAATCTGAAGCGAGGGAGAGCAGCAGGCCCTGACAGGTTGACCCCTGAGATTTTTAAGGATGGTGGTCCAGTACTAGCAGTGAGATTGACTGAGGTCTTAGGTAGAATCTGGGAACTGGACGTAATTCCATCTGACTGGTCCCAATCACTGATTGTGCCAGTCTATAAGAAAGGACAAAAGTCCTCTTGTGACAATCACAGAGGGATCAGTTTGACTAATATAGTGTCTAAAATATTAGCTTCAATAATACTAGGTCGCCTAACCAAAGCTCGTGAAGAGCAGACTAGAGAAAACTAAGCTGGTTTTCGACCTGGACGTGGTTGCATAGACCAGATATTCACCCTAGATCAGGTTCTAGAACATAGACACAAATTCAGACGTCCCACAATAGTAGTATTTCTTGACCTTAAGGCGGCATTTGACTCTGTTGATCGTGAGGTTCTATGGCAATGTTTGTCACTGAAAGGAGTACCAAAGAAGTACATTAACCTCATAAAGGCTCTCTACTCGAGCACAACTGGTCGAGTTAGAGCCTATGGCGAACTGTCATCAGAACTGATTACCACAAGTGGCGTTCGTCAGGGCTGTCCACTCTCCCCATTCTTGTTTAACTTTGTCATTGACTTACTTTTAGAGATAGCACTTTCATCAGCTAAACCTCCAGGAGTTGAACTTTTACCAGGAGGCTCATTTGTTGACTTAGAATACGCCGACGACATAGTTTTACTCGGGGAAGACGCTGACAACATGCAGAGTCTTCTGACCACTATAAGCAACAATGCAGGCATGTTCGGGATGCGATTCTCTCCCTCGAAGTGCAAAATGTTACTTCAGGATTGGGTTGTATCGGCACCTGAACTAATGATAGGGAGTGAAGTAGTTGAGCGTGTAGACCACTTCACTTATCTTGGGAGTCTCATCAGCCCTTGTGGTCTGGTGTTTGACGAAATCTCAGCACGGATACAGAAGGCTCGTCTAGCTTTCGCCAACTTGCGTCATTTATGGCGTAGGCGAGATATCCGTCTAGCAACCAAAGGACGGGTTTACTGTGCAGCAGTTCGCTCCGTCCTACTCTATGGCAGTGAAACATGGCCAATAAGAGTAGAGGATATTCGTAGGCTACTAGTGTTCGATCATAGGTGTCTTCGAAGCATTGCTCGTATATCCTGGGACCACCGGGTAAGTAATGCAGTTGTTAGGAAACGAGTACTAGGTAGGGATGGCAAATCGATTGATGAAGTAGTGAAACTTCATCAGTTGAGATGGCTGGGACATGTGTTACGTATGCCCGACCACCGACTGCCCCAACGTGCAATGTTTCATGGTGTAGGAGTAGGTTGGAAGAAAGCTAGGGGTGGCCAGACCAAAACGTGGCACAAATCAATGAAGTCACTGACAAGTGGACTGGGCCATGTTGGTAGGTGTAGACTACCTGGTTGGGATTCGCGAGATGACAGCAACCGATGGTTAGAGACCTTGAATGACATGGCTCAAAATCGTTTGCAATGGCGAAGATGCATCCACTCTTTGTGTTCTACCAAATTCTAATCTTCTGAATTCCTCATGTCTTTATCTTTTTCTCTTTCCAAATTTATTTCACTGTACTATACTCCTTCAATAATTTCTTTAAACCCCTAATCTTTTGGATTTCTGATTATACTCCTACTACTTCTACCACTATGGGATTTGAATCGACAACTGCATCTGTGTGCTAATGTGGTATGGCAACTCGAACTGATGTACATACGTACGAAGTTCTACGTTGTGACTGACTGACTGACTGACTGAATGTGAGCTATCTAAAAAAATGAGCTGAACTGAAATTATACCTTTAAAATAAATTTGGTAGACTTAATACTGACGGGAATTTATTTTTGTTAGTAAGGTTTAATCCGTTTAGATACATTTTATTTGTTTATTTCTAATAATTATTTCTGTAGACACATAATAGTGACTAAAATTGTTCGTTATTTGACCATTATATCTAGTATATCAAATTTATATATACATGAGACTCATTTCTGACTTATTCAACTTTTTTGTTATTCGTTTATTTGTTCTTACAGTTTTACTCTACGAAATCATGTGTGAATAAATAGATTATTCCTTGACAAAAATATAAATCTATAATTCAGTCCAACTTTGTGTTTTCTTATTATACATCCACAGCTTAGAGTATACTACTAGGACATTCCTGTTTTTTCTTTGATCAATAATTTTGGACATATGTATTATGGAATTCACCTTCATGAAGTTATCCTAACGATTTTTGATATAATCCAAAACGTGCATGGATTGAAGCGATTTTTGACGATTCCTTTCAGCAATGTAATTGAATGATATATGACTTAGTGACCCAATTAAGACTTGTATTTAGGCAAACCAACAAGATAAATCAGTGTAAATGTGAAATTTTGTGTTTTCTAGAAGAACCACTTATGCGAAAAATGTATGAGTTTGTTGAGAATTCTGTAGGCCTACAGTACTTTAATAGGGTTAAAAAGGATAATGTAATCTGATTTATATGAGAATTTACACATGCTATTCCTCTCAAGCACTTGTTTAACTGTCGCAAACTAATTAATGTGAATCATCCATCAAGTATAGTTGAATTTATTTGATCTTCAACCATACGTTTTGCGTATGAGGGTCAGTGAGATAGGTAAGCAAACCACTATCTACAGCATTGCTACCTTCCCACAACAAAGAAACAGAGTTAGAAAAAGTAGCCCCTTCAGATGACATAGCTCACATTGCTCCACAGATTCCCGTCGTCGGAGGTAAGGCATTAAAAGTCCGGAGTTAACATATCAAGAACTGACAAAAAGTTCATGTGCCACTGACCTCAAGCAATTGTCCCAGGTCTTCAAGAGCACTACTTATCCAATTTTCTTTTCAGGCAGCTTGAGAAGCATCTTTCTACAATATGGACAACTAGGTAGTGATAACCACCCTCATACGTTTAACAGAACTCGGAATCACCCTGTTCGTAATCAAATTTCTGTTTCATTACATAGTAATTTTCCACCCTGAATATATGTAACCGTCTCCAATAGTTGAAGTAAAATGTTAATCATTTTCTAATTAGTCTCTAGATATTTTATTTTGTGTAATGGATAACAGAATTGAATGTTTTGTCATCGATAGTCCTATGAGAAATATTCTCGCTGTCTGTAACAGTAGGAAGGACTTATTGTTGCAACAGCTGTTTGATTGTTTTATTTACTTGTCCTACAGACAGGTTTTGATAATGAAAAATGTTTTTGTCTTATATTCATGTAATTCTGTCTTGATGTGTAGTAGTTTTCAAACTACTTGTCCTTATTTTATAGGGTCCAGTTCGATGTGTTCGATGTAAAGCCTACATGAATCCCTTCATGAATTTTATTGACGGTGGTCGAAGGTTCCAATGTCCACTTTGTAATGGTTTAACTGAAGTTGCCGCTGAATATTTTGCTCATTTAGATCATACTGGACGTCGAGTTGATGCAGGTCAAAGACCTGAACTATGTTTAGGCAGTTACGAATTATTAGCAACAGCGGAATATTGCAAAAACAACCAGTTACCTTTACCTCCAGCCATCATATTTCTACTAGATGTTTCTCAATCTGCTATACGTTCAGGTTTAGTACAGCTATTCTGCTCCCAATTCGTAGAACGTATTCTACCAAATTTACCTAGGTGAGTGATAAATTAAGGATTATTTCACACTTACTATTACGATATAACAAGCAATAATTAAACCTATTTAGCAAGATTACAGTTTCATTGGGTTTGTTGGTGATCCACAAGACCTGCAGCCTGTAATCACTTACGTTTCAAATGACATCTAATCATTCATTTTTATGCGTAATCTGTTGTATATACAAATATCATTTTAGTAAAAAGAATTCTTATTATAATCGCAGGTATTATCTTTTGGTAATTGTTGCCTTCACGTCAACAGTTCTCTATCGTTACTATTTATCAGTCAATAACATCTTATCGTCGTACAGTCTATCGATCAGCTTTCTATCTCTCGTTTCAAAACAAAATTAGTTCATCATAAATGCTTTACACCCTCCATAATAGAGTAAAATTGAGGGTGATCAGTTAGTTAGTCAGTCATCATCAACGTAGAGATTAAGAAAGGTATGCAGTGCTCCAAGTTACCATAATAGATCATGATGTTAAAATGAAGACATATTTCTTCCTTATATTATTCATCAATATCAACACATTTGAAGCAGTTTTAAAAATTAAATTCTCTTGTTGAAAAGTTGAAAATCCATTGAGAAACCTGATTTCCACATTATTTTCTCCAATTATTTAGATGGATTAATATTTTTCATTTTTGTCAGTAAATACTTGTCATAAAATAGGGATTTGGTATGAACGAAATATGTGTCAAGTTTAGGGTGGTCAGGGAAATACGTCTGTTGATATAGTGAAAATTCCCATTTTGACATTTGGTAAATAAAAAACGAACGAATCGAGCGATGAAATTTCTTTCCAATTGGTTTTTCATCATGGCTTTACAATAATGAAATGATACTCACTGGATAGATATGTTACGTAATAATTATGTGATGACATATTGATTATAAAATAACATTAAGTAATTGGAAGAAAGATGATTATAATATATATTAGTGTAGAGCCATGATGAAAAACTAATGGAAAAGAAATTTCTTCGCTCTATTCGTTACTTCTATTTATAGTTTATATTAATTTGTCCTGGTCACATTTCTTTTTATTTACGATGAAGACTACATTCTGACTTTTTAAAAGTTTTATACGATTCTTTTTGTAGGTTCTTTTTAAAGGGTAACTAGATAGTCTATTATCGTATTTTGTGTTCTTAATACAGGGAAAAGTTTGCATCATCAGATATGGCTAATCCAATTCGATTGGGATTTATTACATATGATCATCAACTTCACTTCTATACTGTACCTCGTGAGTCGTCATCATCCGCTCAACAAACATCTGAATCAGCAGATCAGAACACTTATAACTCTTATGGTAAACCTCAAATGTACATTGTAGCGGATATTGAAGATGTGTTTGTGCCTACAGTCGAAGGCTTCTTGATACCACCTGATCCTGTTGTCATTTCTAGTATCTTGGAAATGATACCTACTCAATTTTGTACAGAGAATGCTTTAAATAGACAACCTACAGATAGTGTATTAGGCCCAGCTATTCAATCTGGAATGGAAGCTTTACGTGCTGCAAATCGTTCTGGAAAATTATTTGTCATACATGCTAATCTACCAATTGGTGAAGCACCGGGTAAATTGAAAAATCGAGATGATCGCCGTCTTATAGGAACTGAAAAAGAAAAAGTAAGTGTCATTTTCATGTCTTACACTTTTGAAATCTTCATGGAATGCTGTGCTGACTTCGCCAGTTATTACTGTTATTGTCATTTGTCCTTTTACTGTTAAAGATATAACATAATAACGGGTGTCATTTTTTGTCGTAATACTTCCAGGGGTAGTGTAAGACTACAACTAATATACTCGTGTAGACCTTCGTCTAGTCTGAATTATGAATTTAAAACAGAAGTTTTGGCTTGTTAAAGTACACATGACTAGTACGTGTAACGTCCTACTCACATATTGTGGCACAACAGAGTAAGTAATGCAGGTGTTAAATATAGAAATTACATAAGTACCGTCTAGCACCGTGGTCTTTGTCCAGCGCTCATTGGTTGGGAGTGAGCCAATCAACCAATCAAACCATGAGCAACAAATCATATTTGGCTACTTAGGATCGCATTTCCAGTGACTGGTTTTTTAGACGATACTCACATTAGTTGTTCATAACTGATTGTCCTCATTTTTTTTGTGGAGTACCGTTCAAATTCCTGGTCCCTGTGGACAATCAGCTGATTAGTACGTAAAATGATTTAGCAAATATTTGTTTAGAATTTGTTTTTATTTTTCTATTCATAGAACAACTTCACTGTAATCATATGCTGACTAGTGACCAACTTTTAAAGGTAATTTTCGGAGTTATAATGCAAACTGACCAGTGAATTTCATATATATCGGTTGTGAGGCACTTGTCCACCATCTGCACTGAAAAATGATTACGCAGTATTACTAATTATTTAAGGTTATAAATGTAAACCATCGGGTACCGGTTTATTGGCATAAAGGTTTAATGTTCGTCGCCAAAATTAATTCTACTGTATCTGGTCACCGAAAAGGTTGTGGACGTACACTGCTGAGGCGTTTCATATTTGGACAAAGTACCTGTTCAGTGGTTCTGTCTTTTTAATTGTTGGTTTGTGATCTCAATAAAATTCAACAAATTCTACAAACCCATATACTGGTTGAAAATTGTTAACTGTTTAATGGTTTTATTTCTTACTTATTTCTAACTTAAACCAGCCTTAATCAACGCAGTTATCTGTCTCCATTTACCTACAAAGAGAGTGGTTGGATAATTAATTTGTTCGAATTTCAGTCACCAAGCTGCAGGTTCGAATCCCATCTTATCTATTTCTGTCTGAACAACTAGGATATATTACCACTAGTTCTCTCATACTTGGAGTGTGGTTAAGCCCAGTAACATGTTAGTAATAATAATAATAATTTTTCTATATTGACAGTGTTCAAAATTACTTTATTCAGCTCTTATTTATTCATTTAATTTTACAGACCTTACTTCTTCCAGATAATGATTTTTATGTTGGACTTGGTCAAACATGCGTAGAAGTTGGTTGCAGTGTAGATCTTTTTCTTTTTCCCAATTCATTTGTTGATATTGCTTCTTTAGCTGAAGTGCCCAGAATAACATCTGGTCGTTTATTCAAATATAACTGTTTCCAGGTAAATAAAAATATTTTAGTGTGATGTGTATTAAAATTTTTTCCTGGAAAATTTGTTCTCTTTTGTACTTCACTAATATTAGTGTGTTTACAATCCCGTTATGGACAATTAACTAATAGGGCGCTGAATTAACTGACAGGTAATCTAATAATGGTTAAAATATATGTTTCATCCATTGAAGTTATGAGTTTCGAATTGTTACAGTTTTGTACCCCTTTCTATTGTGCATTACTAGTAATCTATCAGCGTCATATAGTTTCTTCCTCGCTTTTTTACTAGTTTATTTTGTTCATTGTACACTCCTGATATATTTCGTTGTTTTTTCTTTCTTGTATTTGGGGTCACTCACTAGATATCTACTTGGTGGTTTCTATAATGTCTTTGTCGAGTTAATATGAAGTCACTTACAAAGACCGATACTTTGTCTTTTCACTAAGTTTGGATGTCTATTGTTAGCCGAGTTGTTTATAGTTATGTCTGATTGTTGTATTAGGTGTCTGTACTAATATATTTAGTGTGTACTCTGTCCTCGTAGATCAGAATTTGGTTAATCCACACGGCAGTGATACGAGGAGGAAGTTATCATACTTAACCTTTTGGATATATGATCAATATTCTGACTACGTGTTGTGGAAGCCCAGGCGACTTGTGGTAATCTAAGCCATCTTTGGTAATGTTAATATGGTCGTAGAGGGTCAGGTTTACAATATATTTGTGAAAAATTTCTGCTCTGTGGTTGTAAAAATTGTCCTCTCCGAGCCGAGCATTCTTGGAAATTCTCTGTATTCAGTCATCATTGTATTCGAAAAATTGCTCATATTCAGTGGCAACATCTGTAAGCGGAAATCCTCTTTAAATTTTGATCATATCTTAAGCTTCACAACATCGTCTGCAGATTTACTGTGTTCATATTATTATAATTTAAACGAGTTGATTATTGATCTGTTCCATCACTTCACGATTATAAACTCATTTTATGTATTCAATAACTGAAATGAGATTGTTTAGTTCATCATTATCGTTCTGGAATTCTACACAAAAATGTGTATCCTATTGTGCCTCAAATGACTTTCATTATTTTGAATGTTATCTTGTCGATTCATACCTTATTTAAGCATATGGGTAAAAATATGATAATGTCTGAAAGTATTCGTTTATTGTTTTTTTGCTCAACGTTGTTAGAGACTGTGATTTTTATCATAATTGATGCCCTCCAATACAACATAGAGTGGAGAGAGTCCATCTTCCCTCTCGAAATGCTCTCATACACCTGTGTGTTTATATTATTTGTTAGGAGAGTTCTAGTTGCTAACTTCAAACAGCAGCCATTTTTTTACGAAAGCTTGGAAACTTAAAGCGAATATCTGGCGTTCAAATGGGGTTGACGTGTGCAAAAAAATCTAATTCCAAACCAAGCTTCAGGATCCTAAGGCGACAAGCGGTATTTGAGCCTATTTCGGTCACCGGGTACAACGGGGGGTGTTTTGATGTCGCTCCTGTGTTTTGTGGATTAAAACTCTTGGTTCAAAGGTTAGAGAAGTGGCTCCTTAAGAAAACCTGCTTCAGTTCGGACACCTGTTCACTATCCCAACTCACACAATTTCGTCAAAATATGTCTTGTAGTCTCGGAAATTTGATTTTATTACTTTCATTATAATTAAATTAGTGTTTTATAAAGTAGATGATAAAGGACGATGAAAAATTCTTATTACTAATACTTACAGGCTGACCTACAAGGTCATCAGTTTTTGGCCGATCTCCAACGTACTTTAACCAACCTACAAGCTTTCAACGCTGTTATGCGTGTTCGAACAAGCACTGGTATTAGACCTGTTGAATTCTTTGGTAATTGTTACCTACCTAATACAACTGATGTTGAATTGGCTAGTGTTAGTTCAGATATGGCGATCACAGCGGAATTACGTCATGATGATAAACTTCAAGAAGGTGAACTCGTATTCATTCAAGTAAGTTCTTAGTGTTAGGAATTTTGTCATAAAGTTTATTTCGGGAGAATACTTTGACTGACATAGTAGTGTTTAATTTAAGATGGTCAGTCATAAGCAACATTAAACCTGGGACACAGATGCGTCGATTCAAATTCCAACACCATGTCATCAGAACGAGAAGAAATTGTCAAGACAAATGTTAGAGAAGCAGAAGTAGTAATAATTGTCAGTGATAGTAGACATCATTAGATAATGAGTCAGAAAATGAGTCGAGAAGAAAAATTGAATTCGTGGGATAGAAATCGTAAAGTGATTTTGAAACTTAAAATTTTTAATGGAAGACAAAAAGTAAGCGTATGTGTATCATTATGATCGATTTCGAGCAATACCAAGTAATATTTATAACCATTAGTTGAGATAATCATGCAAATCCCATCCAGGTAGTCTTTGTTCAATAACACGGTTCAGTTCAACAGTCTATGACTTCATCAGGTGATGTCATATTTTGTTTTGTTCATGGGTAACCCTCTTCTAGCTTTACTCGTACATCAACCAATATCGTATATCAAAATAGGTATTGGTTGGGACTATGTAAAATATATCGCAACCACTTCAGTCAATAAAAGTTCACTACTTCATCAGTCAGTTTGTCATCTTTACCTCTTACCCTTTGTCTTATCTCAACATTGCCCTCTCGATGTTCTCAACATACTAATCTTCAAATGTTTTATTGTCTTAAGTTTTAAAATGTCATTTTGATAGTAACGTTATAAGTCCTTTTCATCTTTGGGAGAGAGACTTTGAATGGACATCAACTGGAATAAGTTGTATACTCGGATGAGGTGTGGTGACTTAGTGAATAAACCATTCGGATTTAAGTCTGTAGGTCGTTATTCCGAACCCCGGTAGAATTACTTCAGTTTAGAGAGACGTTTAATATGTTACTTGCTTTGGTCGCACAAACGATTAGTTTCAGCGCCGAGCACGTCAATATACGCTATTCGGTAAATAAATTACACCACTTTTTAATTAATCGTTTTAATTTTTGGTTACGAGTAGATATATGACAAGTATCGTGAAGTTTTTCAACATTATTAATTTTCGAAAGTCATTTTCTGTTGGGAACTGAATTATTTCCTGAAAGCTCAACCAAGAAACATCCGAAAATAACATTTCAATTATTTGAGGCAGAGTATGTATGAGAGAGACAGTCTCGTTTGGAATTATGGATTTGACAAATATGAGTAGATAATTATGTGCAGCGTTTCCTGTGATGTTCCACCCCCACCTCGGTTCCTACAGTTAAATTCAAGAAGTTATACTTGTTTTCTTTCAAGGTTATTATTATTATTATTTAAACACATAAATATTAGTACAAGGCGGCACCGATTATATATGTTCCACACTTCATCATTCGATATGTGTGAGGGCTGGGATACTGCTCAGGTGCCCAAACCGAAGGATGATACAATGGGATAATCTTAGACATCACCCAGATAGATAATAAGTGTACGCGATTGACCAGGATTTGACTTCCTTTTCTAAGGAACGAGATACATCCTATTTGCCGAAAATCGTGTCTGAGTGACTATATATATTAGGTTAGAGAATTATATATATATATATATATATATATATATATATATATATATATATATATACTTAGTTTCCTTTTTGATCAGTCTTCTCTTTCAAGTAGTCATTCGGGCTCGCGGATAGTAAGGTTGTTTATCAATAGTCTCATTATTGGACACAACACAACGCTTTGTTTTACTGTGGCATAGGCTACTTATATCCACATAAGTAGTATATAACGGTGGTAGGGCATTGCATGTATTACAGTAGAAGATCGATAAGGAGAGAACGGGAACAGGACGGAATTGGCATGAAAATGCATGAACAATAATAATCAGAAACAATGGACTGATATTTGCAGAAGGAATGGTCAAGATTGCGACAATTGATTGATAGTGTGCAAAGTAACTATTTACTATATGGTTCTCATTTTTTACTGAGATATTCTGTAATTTTTTACCTGAATACATTCGATTGTCCCCACTCGTGTTCTTCACTACATTACTATGTCTGATTTTCTGAAAATGAAAATTACTCAAAAATTTCCCAGATAAGTTTGTTTCATACTGTATGTTGTAATGGGATTAATCAGACAAATTTAATGTATAAATCTTTCTAATAATTCTAAACAAATTTAAAGTTTCTTATATCTACATTTCACACAGGTTGCATGTCTTTATACTTCAGTATCTGGACAACGAAGGTTACGTATTCATAATCTGTCAATTCCAGTGACAAGTATGATACCTGATATATTTCGTCTTGTCGAATTAGACGCACATATGAATTGGTTGAGTAAATATTCAATGCGTTCTCTACTCAACCGTACACATTCACAAGTAATGGATGATTTAACAACAAGAGCTGCTAACACCTTGGCTGCTTATCGTCGTCATTGTGCTTGCGGTCCGAATGATGTAAATTCGAATCCTAGTGAATTAGTATTACCACAAAATATGAAAGTATTTCCTTTGTACATACAATGTCTTATGAAAACTGAAGCCTTTAGTCCTGGTTTGTCGTGTTTTTTTAATTAATTAATTAATTATTATTAATTATTACTATTATGTCGAAAGTATGCTTATTTCCTGACATCCTTCAACACCCTAAATGACTTTGAGAAAATGAAATCAGCTTTCAGCTAGGCAGATCACACATAATCTGAATGAATAACTTTCTATATACAAACTTCAAAACTGTTAGTATTAGGACTTTTGGAGTTTAAGTTAGACTGAAGTTTAAAGTTAAGTGTGTTTGGCTTAGATATTTGCATTAGGATTAAGATTTAAGATTAGGATTTTGTAGTAGTGATTCGAAATTTTTGTAGTTACATTACATCCCAGGATAAACTCATGTAAAACAAGCTTTTCGAAGCGACAGATGGAGAGCGAATTTGCAGTACTTCACTAGAGTCTTGAATACGGGTCTCGAATAGACAGCAGACGTCGATATTAAGACTTTCTAAAGACATAGCTAGCCCTATCTGTTGTTCGATCTGCATTAGTGTGCGAACGTTGAAGGAAGCCAGTTCGAATGGTGTATTTGGTTTCAGAAAGACTGGTTCAGTATTCGTATTTGGTGGTAGCATTCAACTTTTGACCAGTCAGTGACCCGAGATCGTTTAGATAGAACAGAGTTTCCGCCATAGGCGAGCTGCTGTATAAGTTGAAAAATGAGTGTACATGAAGTGGGAATGGAGGAAGATAAGTTATGTAGTACATTAAAAAATGATAGTAGCAGTAATAATAATAAAAATGAGTATTATCCAGTGAATGTAAATTTTCTGAATTCTAATTGAAACGAGCATAGTATTTCGTGAAGTGATTGTCATCTCATTAGATTTGTGTGTGGGCTGTGATACTGTAATGAACAGAACACGACTGGTTGGGGACAATCGAATGTATTTAAGCAAACATTACAGACTATCTCGGTAAATTCTGATAACCAAACAATGAACAGTCAATTTGCAAATTAATAACCAATTGTTTCAATCTGCACTGTTTCTTCTCTAATTCCATTGCTCATGCATTTTGCAAACGATTGCGCTTCATTTCAGTTCTTTGCTCATCGGTCTTCTGCGAAAATACATTCTATGTCTGACCCACGCCATATACTACTTATATGGATATAAGTAGACAACACCACAATACTACCTGGGTGCTCAGACTGAAGTAGGTGGTTCTCTTGGAGGGAGGGCACACTCCGAGCCTTTGACCTAAAGGTCTGATCCACAAGGCAGTAGAACAACGTCAGGAGATACATTCCCATGATAGCCGGTGACCAACGATTGGTTCATATGCCATTTGTTTCATCAGGATCCTGGAGCTCACATGCACCATTGGTTTGGAACCAGGGTTTTCCAACTCCCTTAAGTGGACTCTCTGTGTCCACCAACATGGTTAAGGCGCCAGACATTCGCTTTTCGTCTTTTCAATTTCGTAAACAACTTCTTTTGCACGAGAAGACAGTGAGTAAGACTTCTGTGGGAGTGGCTGTATACGCATGGCCGTGTGAGAGCATTTCGAGAGGGAAAGCGGACTTTCCCCACTCTCGACCGTACCAGGGTGTTTGGGGAGCAAACTAACTAATCATCAATAAGTTCTACACAATTCTTGCTTCACTCAGTAAAAATACAAACTATCCATGATCACATTTTGAAGGCCGAGCGAAATTCCCATAGTTTCTGTCTTAAATCTGATTGACTAGTCTATAAAGTATGGTTTACTATTACTATTATTATTACTACCTGAAACTTGGTGATGTCTGTATTTCGAGATAATTCATAAGCGAGAGGACTTGTAATTGTAAGGAAGTAAATATTCTGAAAATGTTATACTCTAGTCTCAGTTATGATTATCATCATCACCACAAGTGATTAACAGCTTGGAATTCGATAATGTATGGAAGTATGTGTAGATAGTATTTTACAAGGTAAGATGTGCAGTTGTGAGATGTTTCACTGTGTAATGAAAAATATTTTCACACTGAACGAAACCAGTTCTTCTCGCCTTACGGTCTCGTGGCGGCGACATTACGTTTAAAGTCATTATTTCTGCTGAATACATGGACTTTTATTATTATTATTATTATTATTATTATTATTATTATTATTATTATTATTATTATTATTATTATTATTATTAATGTTTTTTTACTTATAATCCAGCTGATGGTATTACAATTGATGATCGTTGTTGGCAAATGTTTTTGGTCAACCAAATGGACGTTAAACAATCCAATTGTTATATTTATCCTCACTTATATCCTATTGTATGTTATTGCATTTTTAATCAGAATTTTCGCTGATAATTACTTCTCGTTATATATATATATATATATATATATATATATATTTGGATCGGGGATTCATTTATTAACGGATTCGACTTTCAACCACTAAGTCTCAGGTTAGAGCTCCACCTCACCCTACCTTGTTTTGGACAACCGGGTAGTACTACTAACCCTTACATTTAAAGTGTTGCTCGAAGCCATGTACACGAATCTATTCTTTTATAGCTGTGAAATACTGCGAGAACTGAATATTTTTTAATCGAACTCCAATAGCCAACAGTTGTAGCGGTTTCAGGCTACTAACACACACGCGCGCATAGAGCTCAACGTTACCTATTTTGTACTAGTAGCTAATGTTAGTGGACCAGTGTTTTTGTTTGGTGAATTGTATACACCCGATTTGGAATCATTTTTGTTTTCTCTTATACACGCCAAATAATTTGTTTTTCAGTGTAGAGTGGAGCGATAGCTTAAGTTTTGTTAGGGTATTCTTTCAACATTCGACTAAGGAGTGTCCTACATTCGAAATGCTTTCCACGTGCTTCAGCTTCCGGTGGGGCGGGATTCGCGCTCAGGGTAGTATCATCAGACTTCGCACTATCACAGGCCGACAGTATGGCTCTAGTGCGGATACATAAAACTGTACTTAGCAAATGAGTTGCATTTAAACTTCTGTTGAACAGCACATGAGTTCAGCTTAACGTTCTTAGTTTTCCGTAAATTCATATGTATATATTTGTATATGATTTCTTAAATTATGAATTAGTAGAGGCTTGGAACCCCTGGAACTAGTCAGACTTATAATTGCTAAATATTTAATTCGTTAATTGATTATCTGTAGTTTTCCCATCATAAAAATGAGTTTAAGATTGGTAAACCGTTTTCCCGATGGTATTAGTATGTTTTGCCCTGTGATCTTTAGTAAATGAGTGTCGTCTCATTTCCAACCTCACTATTTCTTTAAAAAATACTCATTTTAGCATGATCTTTCACTGAATTTCGAAGGTGATATACCTTATCCTCCAGCTGCTATACGCTGTTCATATGATCGTTTACAAATGGACGCAGCTTATTTATTGGATAATGGAATTTATCTTATCATGTGGATCGGTCCAAATATTTCATCGGAATGGATTCAAGCAGTGTTCAATGTTCAAAATCCGGAACATTTTGAATCAGAAAAAGTAAGACAAAATTAGATATTACAAGTGAAGAAATTTTCTAATAATTTTTATGTCTTAGAAATTCCGCTTAACTTAACTTCTTAGAGAGCTATCAGTTACTAGATGGTTTCCTTAGAATATGGAGATTACATGCATTTTTCTTCTTTAAGTACAAAATATTGTTTCACAGTTGTTCTTAGTTATCACTTGAAGTTGATAGAGAATCAAGTGATTAAATGCTCTGCTCATTTCATTTATCTTGGAAGTTTCGTCTCCCTTGGAGTAGTTGCGTCTTGGCATCGATTTAGGAAGCTCGGTTAGCCTTTGCCAACTTGTGTCACTTGTAGCGCAGGCGACATGTCTATCTGCTAACCAAAGAAGAAGTACACAGTGCAGAGACCGGCTCTGTATTTCTCTGTCACCGTGAAACGTAGTCTATAAAAGTGGGAGACGTGCATATGCTGCGGGTTTTTTATCTTAGGTGTTCTTGGCGCGTTGCTTGTGTTTGTGGAACGTCTGAGTGGGCAGTGCTGAGATTAGTTTTTATAATGGAACGAATATTGTTGAATTTTCAATTGATTTTCCGGATTATTATCAATTATAATTCGGTTTTATAATTACGTAACAACCAGATTACTATGTCTATGTATTCCATTTATCATGAGCTTTCCATTAACCCATTAACTACTATTATACGACTTACCATTTCCTAAGTTATTACCAGTGTGAATTGCTTACCGCTTCTCCTATTCAGAGCCACTTTTGGTCGTTTATGTATCATTGTTATTTTTCATTTTATGGTGTGATGTTGTCCAGTGTGTCTGTACATAAACCATGTCTGTAGGTATCATTACCAAGTCTTGATTTGATAATTTTGAATAAATTGAGCATTGGGTAGATTGTTATAAATAAATAATATATTTGTAATATCCCAATGAGTAGAAAAATTAGATTTTCTGACGTTTCGTGACTCAGTGTAAGCCACTTCTTCAGAGAATAAATAACCAAATTAACATTAATCCAAGTTTAAATAGTACAACGGAACAATCCAAGAATATTAGGTGATCAATCAAAAACAGGTCTGAATAAATCACTGTCACGTCATTTCATTTCGGTCAAGGTGATTCATAAGCGACATGTATGTAATTTTTATTAAAATTTTATTAAAATTTTTATTAAAATTACATACATGTCGCTTATGAATCACCTTGACCGAAATGAAATGACGTGACAGTGATTTATTCAGACCTGTTTTTGATTGATCACCTAATATTCTTGGATTGTTCCGTTGTACTATTTAAACTTGGATTAATGTTAATTTGGTTATTTATTCTCTGAAGAAGTGGCTTACACTGAGTCACGAAACGTCAGAAAATCTAATTTTTCTACTCATTGGGATATTACAAATATATTATTTATTTATTTATAAACCATGTCTGTTTGAAATATAGATGTAGTAGAAGCTGTTTGCTGACTTTTGAACTAATGTTAGGGCATGGAGAAAAAATTTCAAACAGTTGACTATTCGGAACTTAGCCGCATCGACTCAAGGTCAGGTATGTAATTGGGAACACTAGGCTATAGAGGACATAGTAGACGCGGAAATGGACAAAAATGAAAATTAAGACTCTGATTGGTTACTCGGCTCCAAGACAGCATTGATAATGCTTTTAATCTTCATTGTCTGGCCACTTATCATGTGTGTGCAGTTACTGTTTATGTCGATATACAATGTCCGGTAGTATAGAAGTAGTTTAAAATGAAGCTAAGAATGGTCACTCGTTAAATGCACCATTTGTATATCTTCCGGGAGTTGTCCTCTACATATTCAATCATCCTTCCAATCCTGTTGTTACTCCGATTGCTCTCTTTCTCTTTCTCTTCTACTATTTCGGGATTTGTCTTGATAATTCGTTCTCGTTCTACTTATGTGGTATGGCAGTTTGAACTGATATACTTATGTCCTAGGTTCTAAACATTTCTTATGACACATTTACTGGCTGTACCAAATATCCTAAAAGCTTTAATGCGTACCCCCAAAATTAACTTGTCGACGCCGTTCGTTTCCATTTAATCCACTTTAATTATAGTAATCTCAAATTTTGTAAGATTCAACGGTCAAAATATCAACTTCTCAACCGGATTGTTATTGATTAAATTGGGCAAAACTGAAAAGTAACGAGAACTACTAAGTTTCTTGGTCTAATAGTCCACTACTGTTTTGTTGCAATCGTTTCATTTATTAATAACTTTTTAATCACTTACCCTCCTCGATAAGTTCTATAATTACTGACTTTTTCTGTCACATTCTTTATTTACCACTGCTTACAATCGTTGGGTGAAAATCCTGTTTTTTCTTATTCGACATTTTTCTATTATTCGTAAATTTAGTTTACCTTGTTAAATTGAACTTTGAATCAAAAACTTGCTGTCATGAACGTTTTTCAATCAGCTAACGTTATAATCATTGTACATTATCTATCAATCAGTACTCTGTTAATAATTTTAGTAATCTAAACATGTTCAAAAAAGAAAGAAAAAACAACCTAGAAACCCTCCTACTCTACAACAGTTGTCCAGTCTAAATTTCTATCCGTCTACTCTCTTTATCATGTTCGGTGCCCATAGAACTTGCAGAATCAACATTTATAGTAAACGTTCACATACATGATGTTTTTGTAAACAAAGTTGATCATATGTCCTATGGATCAGTGGCTTTCTAATAAATGATGCTGGGTCACTTAGCGAAGCTTTTCAGTACTATCGAGTTTAAAAATCTCATGATTCAAACTACTTATTCATTTATAAGTAATATAATATTTATGCTTACATTATAGTGTTTTTACAATTCCTACTGTTTAGATCTATGATTTGTGTAATTTTGATAACGAAATTTCACGTAATCTGTGTACATTGCTGAGAAAAGTTCGTAAAAATTGTTGGCATTATTCTCGGGTAAGCGGGAAATTTCTGTATGTATAATTCTTGTTTGAACAAATAAATGACATTCGTTGTGGATTTATATATATTCTGTCCAGTGAAGTACGCAAACTTTAGTTAATATTAATTTACAAGTCTTAATGTGAGTAAATATTCTTCTGTTCCAAGATATTCCATTCGTTTTTATCGTCACTAAAAGTCTTCAATATGGTAACTAATCTAATTAGCTGCCTCATCATAGTGTTATGGACAGTTGATGTTCGTGAATCAACAATATTATTGGGTAGGTGAAGATTATCTGGTTATGAAGGTAAAAAGATTGGCGTGATCTATATATTTAAAAGTACTTGATGACATAGCGTAAAGAGGTCGTAATGATGAAGCTGAACTTATTATATTCTTCCTTTGTCTCGTAAATATTAAATGTCATTCTTAATTTTTATTTCCTGGATTTTACTTGTTACATTTCGAACCTAATTTCTCATATTTTAGTCATAAACAAGTTGAACTTAAGTGTTTTTATGGTATATGGATGGTTGTTTCTTCTCAGTTTTCTAGGAAGGGAACTGGATACGCAGTAATTTTAAAAAACCTGGGAGCATGACTGCGTACCTGAAGGATAATTGCTTGAAACTGGTCATACATAACTTCTTTTGTGAATAGTTCACCATGTGTTAGCTTTGTATTTTAAAGGCTTGCCGCTGGTGATGGAAATATATGGGAAAATATGAGGTGTTCATGTTTTAGGGGCTGGGGTTTTGCAATATGAAGTTTACCATTTTCATTGAATATCAGACGATTTAATATGGGTGTATTTATTAATTTGGTTAACAAAATAACTTTATTCAATAGCTAGCTGAAGCACCAATTGACATGTGAAATCATCATAATTTCTTCTAAGAGTTGATGATTTTCTGGATTAAAAATAATTCAACTTTTCGATCAATACCAACCTTCTACTTCACTTAATCTAATTTTGAATCTCTGGATTTGAATCATACAGCCATTATATACTAATAAATACAACTGTGAAATTTCTAACTACATAAACTTGGTAATGATGTATCCGGTTAAACTATATTACATTAACAACACTAAAAATGAAGGCGACTAAGAATAGCAATTAGGTGTTTATGATTAGAAATGTGATAAAAACTAAATGTTTATTTTACTTTAATTTAGCTTATGAGTTTTTCAAGGTGTTTAGTCGGTTTTCATTACCATTCTAAAGTAGATTACTTCTGTTAAAGATATTTATTCATTGAAGAGAGAATATTTATATATGTTATTACTATTATTATTTAAACACATAAATCTTAGTACAACGTGGCACCATATATATATGCGCCACACAAATGTCATTTGATTTGTGTGACGGCTGTGATACTGCCCAGGTGCCCAAACTGAAGCAAGCGGTTTTCTTAGGGGGCCACACCTGGAGCCTTTGACCTAAAGGTCTGATCCATTAGGCAATGGAAAATCGTAAGGAGATGCAGTCCCATGGTAGCCGGTGACCAACGATTGATTCATACACCAATATTTTCCCTCAGGATACTGGAGCCCCTGTGCACCATTGGTTTGGAACCAGGGTTTTTCAACACCCCGGTTAAAGCGCCTTACATTCGCTTTTCGTCCTTTCAATTTCGTAACCAACACCTTTTTCACGAAAAGGCAGTGAGTAGAACTTCCCTGTCAGAAGCTTTATACTCGTGTCGATGTGAGAGCATTTCGAGAGGGAGAGCGGACTCTCCCCACTCTCGACCATACTAGGGCATTTGAGGGCATTTATGTATGATGATGTTGTGAACTATTTTTCCTATTATTGGTTTCTCAATGTTGATTTGCAAATATTTCAAATGGTTGCTGAAATGACAATTTTCTGAGGCAGTAATCTAAGAATACCCTGAATGGACGCCTTTTTTCCTTAGCTATTTGTGCGGCGATAAAAGATTGTTATTTGTTCTGTATTAATTTTGGGAATTCATTTTTTTAAAAGGAGGGAAAATTGCTTATAAAAATACGTTTTTGATAGTTGGCATTATATTCAAAAAGAATTTAGCTTGTTTCATATTATTCTACTTTCAAATTCCATCATTTTACTGCATAGTTCAACAAAAGACTTTTATTCATTGAGATCTCAAATTGATCAATATTAGAGCACTGTTGAAAACCTGGAAGTACTAAAACGGCATTTCGTCCAAGTATGGAACTCCTTAACAGTGCCCATCCGCGATCCTTCATGCGGGACTTTAATCTAGACTCTTCGATCTCATGCGCGAATGTGAGAGTTTTGTGAATATGTTTGAGTTTTATTATTATTATGATACATGGAATTGACCTTAGTAACATCACAAAAGTTAATTAACCACTGGAAACCAGGAAGAAATATCGCTAATTGATTTGAAGTTAAACATTCATTTTATTAAATGGTGACCATGCAATAGGATGGTCAAACACTGTTAAACCTGAAAGTCGTGGGTTCTGTCTTATGTATTGTGTCATGGAGGATGCACAATATTGAGGTAGTCACATGTTAAAATATAAAACAGATATTTCTCAACGGCTGTTTAAGTTGAGTCTATGATATGGACCATTAAATCAAAATGTTGTATTTTGTGATTTGGAGTGATTTCCTGCTCTAAATTTAATATTACTACAATACTATGCGGTATTGCCGTTAGGAGTTCACGTGAGAGCTAATAGTCATCTATACCTTTTGTATCGTCATTGGTTAGGTTGTACAATTTAATTTAACTATATCGTATCTCTCTACCAAAATTGTATGATGCATTATTAAATGTCAAATGTATGATTTTCTCTGTTTTCTTCTAAATGATATACATATATATCTTTTCTCTATTCTTCTTGATGTATTGTTTGTTGTAGTTATTGGTTGTACGTCCTGGAGATAAAAGTGAACTATGGTTTCGACGTTTCATGGTCGAGGATCGATGCAGTAGTAATTCGATTTCATACACAGAATATCTATGTCACATTCATAAAGAAGTATCCAGTTTACTACATTGATATTAATGATGATAATATGAGCATTATCGATATGGGTTGGTGCCTAGATTGCTGGTCTAGTTTAATCCCTTATTTTGGTTTTGTTTATTCCAAGCAAATACTTTCTTAGTCTTAGCAGCATGAAATTCTTTGAATGCCTTACTCTCTCTTCTTATGTACTTTTATTGTTGGAGAACAATTTTTTTTAAAAAAAACATTCATTTATATTTACATCAATCTCAATCTGGTATTTATTCTTGCGAGGATCCCTTTAAAATGTGTTATGATTAGTGCTTCCTTGAAATACTTCAACAATTTCTGGCCTATATATTAGTGTAATGCATCGTGTATATGTGTGTATAACTTCTATTCACACGCAGTATAAACCCTATTACATATAAAGTTGGATATAGATTTTATGTATGAAAATAAGAAAGTTAGACGGGGCCAAATTATGAACACACACAGATACATACACGGTGCTTGTATTTTCTTTGTTACTGTCCTTAGTTTGTTATAATCACCACATTAGTTTCACAGTTGGTTACTTTTTGCTTCATTTGCTTTCTTCATTAATTCAATATGATCCTATCGTTTTAGATGAATAATTAAAAAAAGCAACCTATTTTGATTCTTTGAATTACATCAAGTAGTGTTATTTTGCGTTTACGCTCACGGGTACGCATATCCAACTCAACCTCTTTTAATGAATCGTCATCATCACCATAATTGTAATCAATAGGGATTCATTTATCCTTACTCTCTTTCTATGCCTTGTTCTTTCCCTCCCTCTCTTTCTTTTTGTCTTCTGTTCACTGTGTTGCTTAAAATAGGTCAAAATGGTAAGAATATTACTTATTATTGTGAGTTTGAATAGTAGTGAATGTTGTTGGTTTTCTTTTTACCACTACCGTGAAGAATCCACCATCTTATTTCCCCCCCTTGTTTACCCTGTATCCTGAAACTAATGTAATTTATACTTTAAATTGTTGTTGTATTCTGGTTTTGTTTTGTTTTGCTTTGTTTCGCTTATTAATTAAATACATTGAGAATAGTGTACTGGTTTGTTCTACTTTTGTTGTTGGTTGTAATTATTTTGTGATAATAATTTTCTGATTTCCCTGTGTATATGTGTGTGTGTGTGTTTCTGTGTGGGGTTTTTGTGGAGAATAACATTCACAGAATGATCTATGAAAAGGGAACTATTGACTTATTGATAGTTTTGATTGAATGACATTAGTGTTATGTATTATTTTTTTTCTGAATTGTTTCTTCTTTTTTTTTCCTTAAAGGTTTTCTCGTATATATTTTGAATTTATCATGAATTTTTCTTATGTTCCATTCTTATGGATTATTGGAATGTTTGTTTGAATTAATATACATTCTCATGAATAACTTATTCACAACATCTAATCTACTCTGATGTGTTATGTTTAATGATGATGAAGGTTTACGTATTAATAATAGGCTTTAGAATAAAATAGGGACTCACTTTTAATGTCAAGATTACAGATTGTTTTCAAATCACTAAGAATGTAGATACATTGAGTTAAATTTTTGAAAAAAAAACATGAAAATAAACCACTGAGCCAGCATCCAACGGTGTTAATGTCTAACTTCAAACGATCCACGAATTATGAGCGACCATTCACCAAATGCCTTCAGTGAGTTGTTATCTTACAACAGACGTGGTTGAACTCCACTGGTCACTGCTCAGTGGTCTATCGGTTAAAGAGCTCTGGCTCGAGACTGGTAGGTCCTGGGTTCGAATCTCGCGAGTACGGGATCGTGGATGCTCACTGCTGAGGGATCTCATAACAGAACGAAACGGCCATCCATTGCTTCCAGGTTTTCGATAGTGTTCTAGCTTCAATTGACTCATGATTTCAACTTTGAAAAATACTGAAATCTCCACAAATCCCCTTCTGATTATAAAAATAAACGTTTTTAAGGAATCATGGATACTGGTACCCAATCAGTCAGGAACATCTACTTAAACTTGGTTATACACAATTTTATGACTAGTTCTTGATATGTTGATTCCATACATTGAAGGGTTTACCATCGGAGATGGAAATCTGTAAAGTGAGACGTGCTGTTCTTTGGTGCGGACTTCCCTAACCCCTTCCTTTCATTGTATGGAGACAACATCGCTGTAGGTATTAGTTGTCTGAGAAAAACAGCTTATTCCAATCACGTCGCAGCGGGGATTTCATCTCTTGTTGTTTTTATTTTAGCCGTTCTCTGGCGAATCTGCCTAGCATGGTAAGATCTAAGGAAAAAAATGTTCTAGCCATCATAATGCAATTAGGTCGTTACAAGAGGATTAGTCAGCCATCACGCCAAGTTAAGACGTCCGAGCTGGCGAGGAGTGGTAATGTATATATAAATACACGTAGAGCAATAATAACATTCAACCATGAAGCTCCTATTTTGGAAGTTCACCAAATCCTATGGATCGTAGATATTTCAACTAGAACAAGAGTCGATAATATTGTAAAATCATGTTAGGTCAGACTTAATGAATAAGCATGTCACGATTATTCATGAAAAGAATGTGGTAAGTTATGTGCGAGTGGATAGTTTTGTAAGCCACTGTTATGAGTTGCTTGGAAAGAATTATAAGACATATTTTCCTTAATATGACTAGATAAACTGACGTTAATAAATATTAACGCCTACCACGTCGGCTCGCTTAAATGTATGGGCCACCTGTTTGTACCATCTGAATATTTCAACAAGTTATCTGCTTTTGTTCGCATTAATACATGTCTATTAAGCGCACGACCTATTTAGGCGGGTTTATGAAAAGTTTACGACCTTTCGCTGTATAGGTCACAAAAAGTACAATCATAAACACCGTGGTGGCTGGTAATATCCATTGAGAAGAATAAATATTATTCAGATATTGATTACTGAACTGCTAACATTTAACTGGCGTCCACGCAATATCTATCGTCAGAATGGATCAAGAAATAAGGAAAGGAAAGTTATTGAGATACTTTGTGCTGAAAATTCTGTGTTGCACCAAAAATATACTATTAAATAAAGCCACTAATAATAATAGTAATGTAACTCAAGAATAAAGGAAAAACCTATCTTCAGTTAGAAAATGTTGCTTTGTATTAGGTAGTTGGAGATAGTTAGAAAACCCCACTTGACCTTGTTTTCAGGACGTACCTGGAAACTTGAACGAACTGATAGTCCCTATGGTATTCAAGCGATATACTGTTTTACATCCTGGAACGTTATCACTGAACTATTTAGACTAAGACTACCTTCCTTTACTCCTGATATATTCACATTGTGTGATGGCGAATTTCGCATTTGTTTAATCTTTCAACAATTGATTAGATTCTATCGATCAGGTAGTGAATCAACATTACAACTATTTCAAATCGACAATGTGTACCCTTATGCATTATTATATGAGAAACATCTAAATGGTGTTCTGTCAATCTTACATCAAGTTCATCTACAAATATACCTAAAAGAAGCTGAAAAACCCCATCTATTAAAGTCAACAAACATATTACTTTTATAGTTGAAATCATGAGTCAATTAAAGCTAGACCACCATGGAAAACCTGGAAGTACTGGACGGCCGTTTCGTCCTATTATGGGACTCCTCAGCAATGGTTGAAGTTCAAATTAAGACAAGGATTTATAAGATTGACATTAACAGCGTTGGATGCCGGCTCAGTGGTCTATCAGTTAAAGGCTCTAGCTCAAGTCTGGTAGGTCCTGGGTTTGAATCTCGCCAGTGCGGGATCGTGGGTGCGCACTGCTGAGGAGTCCCATAGTAGGGCGAAACCACCGTCCAGTGCTTCCAGGTTTTCCATGGTGGTTTAGCTTCAATTTACTCATGATTTTAACTATGAAAAAAACATTACTAACAAAGAATCTATGGTAAATATTACTATATATATATATATATTATATAATGCTGTTGTACATTTATAATTAATAATGATAACAGTAGAACTCATGTAAAAACTAAATTATACTTATACATATATGTATAGGATACTACTAATAGACAACACAACAAAAAGTATTCATCACAACAGACAATATTATTGACAATAATCAGCCTAATTGTATGTAAATTTAAAAAAGGGGAATACAATAACAAACGATTTACGGCTACCAATCAGGAAAATGCACAATTCTGTGAGTGTGTTTGTGTAAAAGTGCTTATGTGCTTTCACACATTTACATGGTTAAACTAGATTTAGTTACTTTTCACCCCCATTGGTTAACACATTGGACTAAAAATATCTCTGTTTCTCTACAATATGTATATGTATACTGCTTACAAATTCGGCTAATAATGATAATTCATTAGTTGATTTTCATAAATATCATGTAAATGGTTGATATTGTTAAAGAAAAAATAGGTGATAATGATGATTTCAATAACTGTGGAGCAGAATTACAATTATCTGTACCACAAATGCATAATTCTGAATAACCACCTTCTGAAGGACGATTGACACATCTAATCTCCTCTGGCTCAGCACCTTCAGTAGCACAGAAACGTTTCATCAATGTGACTTCTAAAATAATAATAATAACAGAGTATTAGTATTATTATGATTGGCAAATTGAGTTTCATGGCCTAGGATTATTGAGAAGTGAAATGCGAAAGTTAAGGGAAAAATTGAACTATATTCTGTTGGTTGTTTACAAATGAAACTTGTTTAAACACATGAGTATATGTGTTGGTTAAAATTTATTTCCACATTGATATGGATCACTTCCAATTTGAGCCTGAGAATTCAGTTACACCAATTATACTACTTACAAGTAGTAATTTTTAATGAGTTGGTGTTTTACAGATAGTATTCATAAAGGATTGATCTTAGTTGCGATACTAATGAATACTTGGGAACAGTGGACAATTATTCTGTTCTAATATCTCACTTCTCAATAGTACACGCCTGTGAAATACCGGGGATTGAATCCAAGACCTGAAAATCTCACAGAAAACGATTAAATATTAAGACTACTGAGTTGGCGTCTTATGTTCAATTCGTGATATAATACAGCAGTCGTGGGATACTATTGTTGAAAATTCGTCTAAACTTCATCAGTCATGATTCTCACTAGAACCTATGAAAAATTTTGAAGTAGTTTACCAATGAGCTGATTGTTATAATTCAGTTAAGGCATTCTTCTTAAAATCCCTCCCACTAAATCTAAATGTTTGTTACATTTTTATGGAATAAGACTTTTATAATTAGTAGAAGAGCTAGTATTTCTTTTGTTGTTAGCGAATATATATTTAAACTGGAATGAATAAGTGAGAATGACAAACTATACTAGTCATTCTTCAAGGAGATCTGTATTTACACTTCTAATGTGCATGTATTAAATAATTGATCTGAGATTTCAATCTTCTCGCATTTGTAAAATTCTGTTTAACATATTGATAAATTGAAATCATGAAGCGATCTTTGATGGTCTAACTGGTTTATGTATAGAATTTAACTAGATTTTGTAATCCAAGATGTAGAAGATTCATTGGCTTGTTTTTTTCATGTTTTGATTGAGTCTTGAAGATAATAATTCTGTGTAACCTAATGAACGTTAGTATATTAGGTCATTAAAACTGAGAGATTAGTATATAATGTATAATTAAATTCACAGTTCTTTATACTTGAACTTGATCCCTAATGCTATACCGAAATCATCATATTATTATGGTTATACTTACTTACTTACGCCTGTTACTCCTAATGGAGCATAGGCTGCCTTACTTAAACTCCCAGGACAGAGTTTAGATGGTGTGAATTATTTTTTCTGGTTATCATTTTTTAGCGAGTTAGTTTTCTACTGGATTGGATAGCTAACTTCATAACCAATCCTCCTCTTTTATCCGGGATTGTGACCGGTAGCAACCCCCAGAGAGGAAACAGACGGAGTTTATTATGATTATAGGTTTTCATAAATCATATTTATTGGCGAAAAGATTAAAGTTTAAAATCTTTTTTATGTTTACTATACTATACTATACTTAGATCTTGTTTTACTTCCATTATGTAAGATATATACTAAAGTTAACCAAAATATATAATCTATGTTTAAACAAATCCGATATTTAATATTTTCATAATCATTGAATAAGTTAATCCCTATTTGAAATCAATGGCTCAGTAAGTAATTCATTGGGGGGTTAAAGTGAAAAGTAATGGGTAAGAACAAAATGTCATTGAAAATCATATTAGGCTTTATGAATTTGGTGCTACATAATTAAATAGCTGAGATTGTTTCTTTTTTTATATAAAACTGATATTGATTCATTGTAAGCAAAGATGCATAGTGGCTAGCAGTGTAATCCAGGACGCGCGTTACGTCCTATTTGGGACTCGTCAGCTGGATGTACCTGTATGTCAGAGTTGATGTTCACTCTGGAACTCTAACCCAGTACCTTTCGTTTCAAACGCCATTACGTTATCCACTCAGCTACTGAGTCCTGAAAGCCACTTGCTTGTGCAATGGGGTGAAGTTTATATTCATTTAGTATGTACATTTGAGCTGCATACTAAATGTATTAAAACTTGTGACATAACTCTTAATGGAAACAATTTGAAACAGAAACTGATCGGTTGAGGTTCTGAGTTTTTATTTCTGTATACTGTGAAATAGTATAGTTACAGTTATGATGAAAATAACACAGGAAATAACGATTTGTTTATTACTTACCTTTAACTCGACCTTTAGCAACGGGTTCTTTCAAGTAGGTGGTAAGTTTAGCACATCCACGTGGTGTATTCTTAGCATTCACAATACTGGGTAAGAAAACGTACGAAATGAATAACAACAGTAATGAATTAAATAAATAGTCATGTTGTAATGATGGTGAAATCAATGTTCTTTTCTAATTGATACTACTGATAACCTACAGACTACTGTAAACTAACTGACTAAAGATTGTTTTATTTTGTAGATTGCAAAATCTGATTCCAACTGATATTCTGCTGAAGGCCAATGGGTATTGAGAATCAGTACAGAGTTAGTTCTAGACCTGTCAGTGGTATACATACATGATCATAGTGTAATTCGAATCCAGAAGTATCAGGTTCCGTGGGGGGCACGTTACTTTCAAATTAGTGAGTCATTTTATTGATGGTATCACTTAGTGTTCTTAGATAGAAGTGCATTGAAAACCAAGAAGCACTGAATAGTTATATGGGACTCATTACTACTGTAGACCCATCTAGTGCATCACTTGTCCATTAATCAATATTTTCGCGAGTTAATTTTCAGAGTCTTAGCGATAAGCTATGAAAAACAAGTAAAACCATATTTGGTGTATAGTGGTTATTTACCTATAGCACTCAAAGTTAGGCAATATCATGAATTCATTAAAATTATAAGTATAAACTAATGAACGGGAATTTGGAAGAGCTGAAGGTTCTGGACTCAGTGTTCGATGACGTCATGAATACACTGCCATTCAATGCGTCTTGGTTTTCAGTGGTTGTTTAACTAAGGTCTATTCGTGTTCTAAACCATGAAGGTTGATCCAGCTTCTATATTTTCCTATCAAACTATCTTACAAGCAGCGAAATATCAGTTAGGCAATATCATGAATTCATTAAAATTATAAGTATAAACTAATGAACTAGGATTTGGAGGACCTTAAGGTTCTGAACTCAATGTCCGGTGAGGTCATGAATACACTGCCATCCAGTCGCCTTTTAGTTTCCAATGGAATATAAAACACTAAAACATATTATCATTTTCATCATAAGAATAGAAATCTTACCATGGTTTATAGAATAGTTCTGGTTCATCTAAACATCTTCGACGATACATATCAGTTTCTACAAAACTTTTCGATTTATCCACTTCTAATTTCATTTCACATTGTGCACAACTAATATTTTTAGCTGGTGTAAAACCTTAAAACAAAAAAGAGAATAAATAAAACTTAATTTCTATTAAACTTGTTACGTCTGGCTGATTGGACGCTATATTCGCTTCCCTAAGCTAGTTCCGTACTCCCGAGCTAGAACTATACACCGACTTGAAGACCAGAGAAAAGGCACAAAGTGTGAGGGAAGCACTTTACAACAGGGTTCATTTATGTACAGAAAATACAGGGATTTTATAGTAATTTAAGAGTCCTTGAGTTTTACCGAAAATTCTAGAATACTGCTAAACATAGTTGCAGTGCATTAATCAGCCAATCAGAATCTCCACATGTGACCTTTCCATTTTCGTTATTTTAGTAACATAACTTCTAATTAATCGCTGATTGGTTGAAATGCACCTTGATGACCCATGTCGCTTGCGAGAAAATTGCAGGGTCATCCCAACAAAACTATTCATTCTAGTATTGGCAAATATTTGTATAAAATTATTATTTGATCATTATAGCATGGTATATGTTACTCATATCGACAGATATAAATAGTAGGTGTCAATAATTGAATGTGAAATATCTCGGGGACAGAAGGTCGCTTTCAGTCCCTATCTCTCTTCACTTCAATTCAATCATCTCAACCTTCTGCTCGTATATATTATGTGATGTGTGCTACTGATATCGGCAGATATTAGTAGTATGTATCATCAATCGATAATGAAATGTCTGGTGGTAGAATGTTAAGAAGATCACAGAAAAGACAATGAGAACAGAGGATGATTGGTGTGGAAACGAATGAACAATGAAATCTGAGACAATTGATTGAAATTTTGCAAATAAAGAATTTACTTTATGTTTCTCAGAGTTTCCTAAGATATTCTGTAATATTGTATTCAAGTACATTCCATTGTCCCTACTTGTGTTCTCGTTTACTACAATAGTTTATTTGAATGACTTGTATAAGTTATTCATTTTGTAGATAATTTTCTTGACTGACTAAAATCATCTGAAAAGCTATTTAAAACTGTGAAACACTGAACAATTAATTCGTCTTACCTTTAAGCGTTTTAGCAGTGAGGTTCAGTAACCTTACTTGAAATAAAACTAAGATCTTAACAACAGTATTATCTCGATATCATTCAGTTGGATTTAAACAGCTAGTCACACTGCTTATCTGCAGCTTAAGAAATTTGTAGAAATGAATTTATTATCAGAATTGGGATTTCTGAAGATTGTAGCAATTTTCATAGTTGAATTCATGAGTCGATCTAAGCTAGACCACCGTTGAAAATCTGGAAGCACTGGACGGTCATTTCATTCTAGTATGGGACTCCTCAGTAGTGCGCATCCACGATCCCGCACTTGGGGCTCGAACCCAGGACTCATCGGTCTCGCACACGAGCTCATAACCTCTAGACCACTGAGACGGTATCCAATAGTGTAATGACCGAAGGTCCGGGGTTCGAGTCTCACCAGCAGGATCTTTTTATGATCTTAAATTTTTAAAAAATATATTATTTGATAAGAATGTGAAGCATAAAATATGATAACAATCACTGACTTTTAATGACTGGAGAATGTTGACTTTTAACCAATATAAAAATTTATTAGAATAAATATCGTGAATGGATCAAAGTTAGATATGTGCACTATTGAATACCGGTCTAGAGGTTAAACGTTTGCGCGAGAAACCGATTAGCCTAGATTCGATTTTTGGATCTGTGGTTGATAGTGCAAAACATCCATCCAGTGCTCTTAGGTTTTAAATGTTAGTCTAGCTAAGATTTGTGATTCAAACTAGTAAAGTCATGATCATTTAGAGGCTTGAATAAACAACGATAAAATGACCAAATTATGTTATTATAATGCCATATGAACACAGTTGACGAAATTTCGGCGTGAATTCAGACATCTTGGTTAACTTTAGTAAGCTTACATTATCTGTACCATAGGTAAGATAACTGCATACCACACAAAAATTCATTGTTTTACTGAATGATAATGGAATGTGGTCTTTAAAAGTACAGGACATTCGTCATTTACTGATATTTAACAGCATATACCTCTAGAATATCATCGAGTATGTTGAAGTCACTGAGTGAACAATTTTGTGATTAGATTCAGAATGCATAGTAAAGATATCGATCAGATTGATGAAACTGTAAATCTTCTTTAAATGAGATTGCTGAAACATATGTTCCGTATGCTCAACGACTATCTACTTCGATGTGCAACGTTGTATGGTGTAGGTTTAAGTTGGAAGAAATTTATTGACAACTGAACTGAGATGTAATATCAGTTCAAAAAGTCATTGACTTTTAATTAGGGTGTGTAGTTAGTTACAGGTCACATAGTCTGGGTACAGTATTCACAGGGTGACAAAGGATGGATAACTTGTACTAAAAGTCATTGATTATCATTGAAAGAAAAAGCAGTTTCTAATTTTCATTAATCAACGGTAAAACGAGGAATTCCATGCGAGGATCTATTCAAAGTTAAGCATTTCAGAACATTAATATTTAATGCCCATGAAGGGGATAAAACGTAGCTAACTATTCTTTTTGTCTACAAACAAAATAGCTTAATGGTAAATAATAAACATTGAATGTGTAAACTTTGAAATAATTATTCTACATTATGCTATCATCAAATTACTTACTTACACAAAATACTTGTAAATTCATTATGAAACATCTTAAAACATCAATGAACAATTTTAATCTATTCTAATTATATTCACTTGATGTGATTTGTTCCAATTGTTGTTTAGGACTGCAACTGATGAGTCTGTTGTTGGCATATATATATATATCCTCTGCAGATCGCCTCGATATTGCCTGAAGTCACAAGCTTTATGAGCAAAGATGGATAGTGGCTAGCAATGAAATTCAGGACGTGCGTTTCGTCCTAAAATGCTTGTAAATTTAGGCTATATCGAGGTAATACGCACAGCATGCACATATACCAATTAAAGACTGACCAGTTGCAGTCCTAAACATCAATGAGAAGATACAAACAAACAATACTAAGTGACTTTATAGTCTTTATGTTTACAAAACATCAGATTTCTGAAATTTTTCCAGTAAACATCTTATCAACAAAGTATATAACAATAAATGAAATTGTATTTCTGAGGTAATTTAAACTACTTAATATCAACAAACAGAATTAAATTTATCAGAAAGGAGTTTTATGGAGATTGTAGTAATTTAATAGTTGACTTCATCAATTAATTGAAACTAGACTACTATGGAAAACTTGGAAGCATTGGGTGGTCTAGTTTTGATTGACTCATGAATTCAACTATTAAATCACAAAAATATCTATAAACCTCTCTTTGATTATAATCATCATATGCTTACTAGTGACGGTCATCAAGAGATATTTCCTAGAGTTCTAGTTATATGCCATGACCAGTAGAATTCAACTAGGTCTGCTGTGAGGTAGTAACTCACTGAAGACAATGGTGGATGGTGGCGTAATTTCATGAATTCGTTGAAGTTAGACATTAACATTGTTGGATGCTAATCCATTGATCTAGAGGTTAAGCGTTTATGCACGAAACTGATAGGTCCTGCATTGTAATCTCGCGAGACGGAATCGTGGATGCTCACTACTGAGAAATCTCACGATAGCACATAAACAGCCGTCTATTGTTTCCTGGTTTTTCATAGTGATCTAGCTTAGATCAACTCATATATATATATATATATATATATATATATATATATATATGCGCACCGTCCACAGGCGAACTTGAGGAAGCTCTGAGAAGCTCAAAAGGTGCCGAACATATTCCATCCAATTATCTTTTGAAAGAATACTCCAGAATCACTACATGTAGCTTCCCTACTGGACAATGCTAGTAAACCCCTGTCTGCGGATTGGATAACTATAATGATAATTTCGTTTTTACTAAAAAACTATAAATATCTGACAGCTTTGTACCATAAATGATACTGTGTTGGGAAATACATTCCTATTTACTAGTCTTCTGTCTTCTCTCTTGCGACGTTGTGGGTTCGATTGTTCAAGTAGTCTAGTAGTAAGCGGCATGGCAAAAATCAAAGCTCTCTCTCTCCCTATATATATATATATAAATCTTCAGCTGAATTGAAAAAATTGTTTTCATGATCATGATCATTATTATCATGCATTAGTTAAGATTAAGAGTGATTCTTTCAATAAAACATTTTAAATTATGATAATAATCATCATATACTCATTAGTGACGGTCGCCAAGAGATATTTCCTGGAGTTCTAATGAGAAGCAGTGACCAGTAGAGTTCATCAGAGTTTGTTGTGAGATAATGACCCACTGAAGGCAATGGTGCACAGTGTCTCAATTTCATGGATTGGTTGAAGTTAGACATTAACAATATTGCACATAATAACATGAAGCTATTTACTTGATATCGATTGACAAGAGATTACTAGTAAGTAATACAATATAATATAAAAGAAGGAACTGAATATGAAAGAAATCAATCTGGAAGAAACAAACAGAATAAACTCCATCCTCAGGATGATATTATATATTTGATGTCAGGTAGAAACTAATACCGGAACACAAGAAGGGTCATCTGAACGTACCTTCGTTTCGTTGTTAATGTTCACTCCGGGACTCAAATCCCGTGCCACTTATTTCGAACGTCAATGTATTATCTACTGAGATACTGAGTGCAGATTCTTAGCAGATTGTGCATCGGAAATGAATTATTATTTATTGCAAAAGCTGGTGGCTATTTAGATTCAGTAACTTTGTAAGTAACATGAAGAAAGCTCAAAGTGAAAATTACTCACTTCAAGTTTCAGATTGACAATTAAGATAGGGATGTAGGAGTATCTACGTGACGTGTTCAAAATAGGACGAAACATAAGTCCTAGATTTTACTACTATTCACTACCCAACTTTACTATAAATATGAAAGGGGATTTTGAATTGAACTTGTGGTAGATAGTGATTAAAATCATTTGATTGTCATTTATTCTCTGAGTCCTAAGGTAGAACAAAATAGGTGTTGACTTCTTCCTTGTTTCTAACTCTATTCCAGTTAAAATCAATTCACGATTTACTAAAATGTAAACTTTGTTTAATTATTCAATCAAACGAACGAAAAATTAGTGAAAAGTCGAGCTTTATTCAGTAAATGCTGATCGAGATTTGTCAATATGCACAATTTTATTCTTAAAAAGAATCTCATAATAATTTTGATATATTTCTATCACTGTAATTAGTAACTTGATAAAATCTGTTCTTCCAAAAAATGTCTGAAACGTGCTAAACTATCTGCTTAAAGTTTCGACTTCCTTGGTATGCACTTGTTAGATCATCGAATCACCTTTCCTTTTGTTATTCTCTTTTCCAGCCCTTCTTGCTAATACTACTCTATCTGTCATCCTAGTACACAAATTATCTTCTGGATAGACGTGAACTACTACATGAATATTTCAATTTATGGTTACAAGAGCTTTAACTATTTATGACTTACGTTATTTTATTTAAGTAGTGAATTTTTGTCAGATTTACAATATAGTTTAAATCATGAGTCAATTGAAGATAGACCACTATGAATAACCTGGAAGCACTGGGCGGCCGTTTCGTCCTATTGTGGGACTCCTCAGCAATGCACATCCACGATACCGCCTGTAGAGATTCGAACCCAGGGCCTATCAGTCTCGCATGCGAGCGCCTAACCACTAGACCACTGAGCTGGCCGGTATCCAACGCAGTTAATGTCTAACTTCAACCAATCTACGAAATTGAGCCACCATCCACCAATAGCTTCAGCGAGTGGATGTTTCACAACAGACCTGATTGAACTCCACTGGTCACTGTTTCTCACTCGAACTCCAGAGAATACTTAATGGAGTCAGTCACTATTGAGCATATGATCATTATTAGGTCATTGGTTCAAATCTCGCAAGGAGGGATCGTGGATGCGCACTTCTGAGGAGTCCCACAATAGAATGAGACAGCCTTCCAAATTTTCCATAGTAATCTAGCTTCAATTGACTCATGATTTCAACTATATAATATTTGTGTTTTTTCAGCTAACAGATCGGATTATATTACACTGTCATGTTCAAAATAAGATCTTTGCTTGAAATTACACATAGATAATAAGCAAACATTTACTTAAAATAAACGAAAAAAAATGATCGGATATACTAGAAAATATACATGTTAAACATTGAAAATAATATGGATAACCTCAATTTATTGAGTTAATATTTATTCTTATATTAAAATGATCATTACTTACTTCTTTGATAAGGTGTAAGTGGTCGTGCTGAATAAACATGATTTATAAAGATGATCAACAAAAGATATACATAAACTGGATTCAAATTCATGATATTCCAACTATGTAATTATGAAAGAAACTGGAACAAAACACGTGGCTAACTAAACATTAACATACTTAGATATGGTATATATATATAGAGAAAGATGTATATACATTTTTGGGATAAATTACTTTCTTATTATTATTGGTCAATTAATTTCGGTTGACCTTAAACAATCAATACTGTTTGACTTTTTGATTGGTTAATCATTAAAATCATTTCCTAATTTATAGATTGTTTTCTGTAGTCGAAATAAGTAATAGTATTTAATGGATTTACTAATTTTTAAATAAGTAACCAATGTAGAAAAGATAAATTGTGTCTCAGTTATAAATATTGTAAAGATTATATATAGATTTGGTAGGCAGAGATGGATGGTGGTTTACAGTGAAATCCAAGACGAGAGTTTCATCTTTATTTGAACTTGGTAGCCAGATGTACCGGGATCTCAGAGCTGATGTTCGTTTAGGGACTCGAACCAATTACTTTTTGCTTTAAATGTCATTGCGTTATCCACTTAGTTAATGAGTCCAGAAAGCCACTTGCTTGTGCAATGGGTGAATTTTAACTTAAATTCATATATATTGATGTTTGGATCTTTCCAAAGGATCCATCATCCCTCTCTGAATAAAACGCTTTTGACTTAATGACAATATCGAGGAAATCCGCACAGGATGCATATATGTTATATGCTGTTCTAAGTGTCAGTGGGAAGATCCAAGTAATTAATAAAAAAATCATTTAAATTGCTCCTGTTATTATGTTACGCTGAAATGAAACTACTTAGGCTGACGGCATTAAAGCATAGAAGCTCGTACACAACAATCGTTCTTTGTTCTCGTTCTCTTTTTTTCGATCTTCTTAATCTTCTGCCTCCAGATATTTCACTTTTGATTGGTGTTGCGTAATACTTATATCTGTCAACATCAGCAGCACACACCACACTAAGTTCGGATTGGCATTGGTATTAAGTGATCAGTAGTAGAACCTATGACAAGAGAGAGTGATCAGTTGATATCCTGAATATCCAGACTCTCACTAATACATTCATATCCACTAAACAAGATTATGGCTGTTTGGACTCGCTAGCGTGGTAACTATCTCGTTTGCATCTGGACTGAATCCTGGTAGAAACATGAACACATAGATGGAGGTACATCCAGATGATAAGTTCCAAAATATAACAAAACAAGCGTCTTGAATTTCACTTCTAACCACATTTCAAATATATTAAAACTTGTTACATAACACTATAATAAAGCAATACTCTCAGGGTCGACAATATTGTGATAGAGTCTGAATATCAACAATAGGGAAGTATAAATCGTTACTGATACTTGATAAGTATGTTCGAATAATTTGCCAGTTGCTTTTTTAAATTTGTTCAAATAGTTGTATTTCCATCTTCGATGCCAGTATGCCCGACTAAGTTGTTGTTAATTGGTTTTGCTAGAGGAGGTCTTACAAAATGCTTTGATATGCAATACGATTGCTTTTTAATAGACAGCGATAAATTCATTATTAAAAATTTAACTGAAGTTAGTAGGATAATCATACGCTCAATATCTTGGTCAATAGCCTACTGTCTGAATGATGTTAACTCGTTATTCCTGTTAAACTGATAGGAATAGATGCAGTGAATGTCATCCTGAATAGAGAAATAGAATATTACCTTATCTAGCTGGAAACATTCCATGATATCTTGAAATACTTATCTGTATATCTTTGTATATCACAGATTTTTTAGATCAAATGGTAATGTAGTTTATCCGGGAAATTTACAAATAATTAGTTTATAATCATTTCATAAGTCAAACATGCTATTCAGAGATCAACACATGTCTTTCTGTTTACTTAACTCTGCCTGTAGCTCCTCCGGAGGTTACTGTCGGTTCCAAGTTCGGATAAAGGAGGAGGGTTGTGCGTGCGGTTAATGACCCCATCCCGTAGGAAACTAACTCGCTAAAAAACGCTAACCAGAATTCTGTTTACTTCTGATAATGGGAAATTAAGAATCAAATGTGTAATTTATTTAATAGAACAAAAGCCACATATAATTTAAGCAATGCATAATATGTTAAAAGTTCAGGATCAGTTGTTAAAATTTATGACCTTGCCCTCGTGCAAATCAATGGAATATCAATCAAGACTAGAAGCCTTGAATCAACTCCAAATCCTCTGTTGGTCATCTGTACAGAGGTTTCTTGCCTTAACCTTTAGACCACTGAGCTGGCATCTAACAGTGGTAATGTCTAGGTTCGATTGGCCCACAAATATTTGCACAACCATTCATTTATTTTCTGAGGTAGATTTCTGTCTCTACTCGATTTCTCATTAAAACCCCAGGATGCTGGCTCAATGGTCTAGAGGTTAAGCGTTTTCTCACCAGACCGAAGGTCCTAGGTTCGAGTGCTTTATACAGGATCGTTTGACGCGCATTGCTGAGGAGTCCCATACTGAGACGAAATGGAAGTCTAGTGCTTTAAGATTTTCAATGTTGGGTGAGCTTAGATTGATTCATGAATTCAACTATTAAAACGATTGTAGTCATAGATAGATAGAGAAAGAGTTTACAAACGTTGTCATCGCTTATTAATCATTGTTATGAATTTGCTTTATCACATTCATGCACAATTTGTACTTACAAATTACAAAATAATTTCAATCACTCAATATATATGATTGGATAATTTATGATTAAAAGGGTAACTTTAGGAAAAAATCAAAATAATTATGATGATAATGAACTGAATAAAAAAAAATACAACTGAAACAACGCCCATTGAATTCTAGAACTAGTTTAGTTACTGGGATTTAAATATATGTATGCATATTTTTCTTTATTTTCCTAAAAAGGAAATCAATTTACAATAAACTAACTCCCTTTAACTAATGATTGACAAACTATGTACAGACATATTGTTATGGATTTATCGATGTTTGTCCTACAGTTTAATAACTTAACATGACAAGTCAGGTTGGATGTTTCTAGAGTAAGTGGTGTGTGGAATTCGTTGTATTCTCAAAGTTAGACTCATGAATGAGTTTAGGCTAGACTACTACAGAAAACCTGGAGGCACTGTATGGCCATTTCGTTCTAGGTACAGGACACCTCAGCAGTGTGCATCCAAGATTCCTTACGCGTGACTCAAACCTCGAGTTCTGGTAAGAAGCCAGAACCAGTGGAGTCCAATCCGTATTATGTGTGACACAGTTATCCACCTCAGACAATGGATGTAAGGTTGCATAAGATCATGGAATAATTGAAGTTGGACATTAACACCGTTGGAGACTGGCTCAATCGTCTAGGAGTTAAACGTTCGCGTGAGAGACCGAAAGTCCTGAGTTTGAGTGGCTTGTGGAGGATCTTGGGTGAACAGCTTAGCAGTCTCATACTGGGACGAAACAGATGTCCAGTGCTTACAAGTTTTCAAAGGTGATCTAATTTAGGTTAACTACTGAATTCAATTTTGTTAACAATCGTAATCAACGAATATCAAATAATGAAATTTTTTCAAATTCACTTATACTATTGATATAACTTGAAAGTAGTACTTTACTATTAAAGAAATATATGTCATCCGCTAATTGTTAAAGTAAAATAAGGAAATATGATACAATGAGAAAATTTAGCATTTAGCACTGAAACTCGACAGACGTTTTAACCTTACATCATGCTTGTCGTATTAATGGTTGCTGATCACTCTAAGAAAGTGCTATTCACTTCAGTTAATTATTTGCATACAAAGCCTTAAACATTTTGGGTTTGAGTTTATCGATTTTCACCTGGTTTATTTGATGGAGTTATGTCATTGTGTGTTAACTATAAGTGCTAGGAATTCTTTACCGTAATAAAATTTATGGTACTAAATGAAACTGTCAGTGTTATTATTACACCGAGTAAATTCATCAATCAGAAAGAAAGTTGTGGAGAAAGAGGAGTTGCATATATTTGCAAATTAATGTGAACGGCTACCAATCATTGAAAAAAACGTTAAATGAACATCCTTTTCCTCCCAGTAAGCACCCACAACCCCTCAAGCGGAATTCTGAGACAGGACCCTCGGTCTTGCGTGCAAATGCTTAACCTCTAGACCGCTGAGTCAGTGATCCTAGGCCGTCAATGGCGGTCTCACATTGATCCGTTGATGATATTAATCTAAAGTCAACAATCGCCACAACCCTGTATTGTTATATATTGTTTTGAATATTCACAAGTTAGGTGTTTATTAAATTAGAATTTTGTTGCACTACTGAAAATTTTGTGCTGTAAATGATTAATGAACACAATACTACTTTCGAAAACAAACTACTTAGCCGAAAGTATTCTCTATCAGTTTATCATTTATATGTTATTTCAAAACAGAAAAACAAAAGATTTTCGATTGAAAATATGTGAAACTTTTTAAAAAATGTTAGCAATATCAACGTATATGGTTATTAGTCAAATCCGGAACGCGTGCTTCATCCTGTTTGCGTCTCGTCATTTGGTTGTACTTGCATTTCGCAGTTGATGTTCACTCTGGGACTCGAATATATCATGTATATAAGCACAATTTCTCATCATGGCAGCCATGTTTTTTAATTAATTTACATTTAATTTTACTTCGAAATTCACTAATCTATGGTTGACTTCCAATACATATAATCGACTAAAATCTGATTCTTTCAGTTCCATCAGGATTCTTGGTATCTGCGTAGTTGTGCTATACGACTGAGCTCTGTTTTCAAAGTTGCAAAGATCCTGAATGGCATCAAATTCTTCTGAATCCCAATGTAAGTCTATCCTCTATATTCATGATTATGAGCTTAGTTATTCAGGAGTCAAATGACTAAACGACACAAGTTTTAGTGATACATTAATCATTTGTCTCTTCATTAACTAATATATCGTTTATATGACTATATCCGGGGAGATTTAGAAAAAAATCGATTGCTTGCTGTTAGGATTTCATGGTAAGTCGTATCTTTCAACAATTTATTTGTTTCAGTGTATAACCATCATA